CTACAACAGAAAGTAGAAGACTAACACTAATTGTTCAGATTGGAGTTCGACACGACGCGGTGAGAGATGATGTTTTCCTTGCAGAGTCCAGAGAAGAACATGGTGAGCACCTGCTTGTACTCCTGTCCATCGCGGTAGGCTTGCAGAGTTCTCCAGAAGCGACGAACCAGCTTGAGATGAATGTTGCGATCTTCGAAGTTCGTTTTGGTATCGGCGATGAGGGCGATCATCCAATTGAAGGTTTCATCGCTATACTTCCTTACGTACTGTTCGAGGTGACACCAGTATCCTCCAATCAGGTTGAGCTCATAGTGGTACTTAGGTCCGTAAGTCACCGTAACCCCATACTTACGTCCAGTATTTCCAATTTGGTGCCGTTTTTGAATGCACGATGTTCCACAACCAAGTTCTGCAGATCCCTGAGTTTGCAGCCGACTGAAACCTTCAGGCCAAGGTCCAAAGCGATGTCCAAGAGACCACGAGACTTCCCTTTATCCTTTCCAGAGGTGTACCGAACGTTGACCTTCCGAAGAATGTTATTGTTGTCGAAATACTCGATGAAGTGCAGGCCTTTGGGATTCCTGGTGCACGGCTTCATGCTGAAATCGGTGATGCTGAACTCTTTGGATGTTTGAATCAGAGCGTTGTCCACTAATACTTCCCTGCGATGACCGTTGTACGCCGAAAAGGATACGTAACTTTATACTCCGACTCACGGCGGATCGAATGGCATCAAAATCAAGGCTCTACCTCTTAACCTTGGGGACTTGATTGGTTTTTGATGGGCGAATCAGCTGTTTTGGTTCCTTCCCTTTAGAGACCCACCAAAAATCCAGTCCTGCCTCAAACTCAGCAACCATGTCTGTACTAACGTAGAATTCTATAGAATTCTATAGAATAGCTGAATTGCAGGAACTCTGACATCCTTGGAAAACAATTGGCATTTTTTGGCTGGAAGAAAGTATTTTAAAGCGAAACCGAGCCCATATTCGTGATTAGTGTCAGAAACTGAATCGAATAATGTGTCATTGAGTCAGCTGTTTCAGCAATTTGTGCTGCAAAAAAACACTTGTATTAAAAAATAACTTTCGCTATAGACTGCTATCCATTCCAAAATACAAGGCCGGTGGTTATTTTTTGAATAACGCAAAAGGAATAAAACATAGAGACTTGTGGTTTTCATCATTCACTAGCCAAGGCCTGAAGCTATGTTTTCATAACCAAAAACGAATTTGAAAAGAATTCCAAAGACCGGTTTTTCAGGAGATCTGTGGAAAACCAGTTCAGTTCTCTGAAAGCTGGCATACAAATCTATGAATTGTTTCACGTGGATATATAGTCCGAAGTATCCTCTACAGAACTAGATCTAAGCGATATCTTAGAAATCCATGGTTCGGGAGCCCTCATACCCTTATTCTCTTATATCCTTATCCCTGATACCTCTGTCGCCTTATCTCCCATCTCCGTGTCCCGTTATAGCCTTATCTTCTATCCACTAGTCCCTAGTGCCCTTATACCATTAACGCATTACAGGTCTATCTCCTTTTTTCCTATACGCTTATACGCTTGTCCCCTTATCTCTCCCTCTCTCTCTTTGTTTTTCTCTCATTTATTTCTTTCAACATGAGACAAAGAGAAAAAATAGTGTTCCGAAAAAGATTTTGTCGAAGATGAAAAAAGAATTGATTTTAGATTTAAATAAGGAAGAAAATCAATCACTTGATTCGATATTTTTTATCGAACGTCATTGCTTTCGAAAACAGAAAATGGAACTTAGCTTTGAAATGAATAAATTGTTTTTTAATTATGTAGGAAAAAAATCTTTGATTTTAGTGTAGAAGACCGTGATGAAAAGAAAAAAGAATTTTCACGAATCGAACAAATTCTTATTTCTTTCACAAGAAAAAGATTCAGTAAATGACATTGATCTTCTTCATTTATCAATCTTCAATGGATTCATCGCACTCCTACTTGATATTCACGTCTTATTCGAGAAGAAAGAACAGCAACAGGTGAAATCCTTTGAGGATTAGTCTCAGTAAATTTTTCTCAAAAGAAATCAATCTACAATTTCGTTTCTTCACAGTTTTCTTCTTATTTTCTCCTCTTCAGCTCTTTCTTTTCATCAACCAAAGTTTTGTCCAACAGCCACTTGGAATTCTAATGGAATCACTTGGGCTAATCGACCAATTGTTGGTTCTCAGCGTCTCGCCATTTTTGTGAACATGAACAACACAATCTATGTCGCTAATGGAGCAAAAAACCAAATTTTAGTGTGGCATGAAGAGAATGTTAATCCAACAACGATCATTTCTGGCAGTTTTACCAAACCCCGTTCTCTCTTCGTAACAACGAATGGTGATATATATATTGATAATGGACAAACGAATGGTGAAGTGCAGAAATGGATAGCCGAAACAAATACTTTTGTCACTGTAATGAATGTCAACTCATCATGTTTTGGGTTGTTTGTCGATAGAAATGATACTCTTTACTGTTCAATGTATAATCATCATCAAGTTGTGAAGAAATCGTTGAATGATCATGTGGTGACACCCGCTGCTGGTACAGGTATTCTAGGATTCGCCTCGAATGAACTTTCTATGCCGACTGGAATCTTTGTCGATGTGAACTTTGATTTATATGTGGGAGATTGTGTAAATAATCGAATTCAGTTGTTTCAGTCAGGAGAATCATATTGCATCACAGTGGCTGGAAGTGGATCATCAAATCCAACAATTACACTTCTTAATCCAACAGGAATTGTCTTAGATGCGGAGAAGTACTTATTCATTGTGGATACTGGCAATCATCGCATTGTTCGTTCAGGGTTGAATGGTTTTCGATGTTTAGTTGGATGTCATGGAATGGGTTCACAATCCAAGCAATTGAATGTACCAACTAGTTTTAGTTTCGATCGTTCTGGAAACATGTTTGTTACTGATGAACATAATCATCGAATTCAAAAATTTGTATTGATGAAAGATTGTTTTGGTAAGTTGAAGAAAAGTTGAATAAGATAATGACATGTGAATAGATCAATAACACAAGTAAATGAAGATTTGTAGATGTAATGAAAATGAAAGAAAAGAAAAAACGTTGATGAAGATTTTGTTTGAAAATGGAAGATTAATTAAACCAATGTGAGAAAGAATGAGTCTGACGAAATAAAAATAAATACAGAACGATGAATAAGAAGTGAAACGTTCAGATCAGACAGCGTTGTGTGTCAGTTCTATCAGACGAACAATTGTAGTCTCTCTACTAAGATTAAAGAATAGAAGAAGAAGTTTTGTCCTTGACGGAATGAGAGACTTTCGTATTTCATTTTATGTGCTTCGAAAAATATCGCATCGTTGAAACAGTTTTTATCAAAATGAAACAGGTTTATAAAAGAAGTTGTAATATCAAATATTCTTTGATTTTACTTCATTTTTCATGGGATCATTGATGGGTATTCAGTTTTTATTTGTTTGTTTGATTGAAGAGAAATAAAACAAATGAAATATCACGACCCTAAGAACTGATTTTTCTTCTATTTTTTGCAAAATGAATGCATTCATTGTTTCTCTGTTCGAGTAGATAGATTTCAGTATCAGATGTCATTACATGAATTTTCTCATAGAGAAATGATCGAGTGATGAGTTGTTCTCTCGAGAACGATCAGAGCATCTATTTGTTGAGAGTGGTGCTGAATAGTTGAAGTCAATACTGTTAGGCAATTCAGAAATATCACATACCTGATTCTGAACGACAGACATATGCAGGTGTTAGCAAAAAGACTTGCACACCTTCTTATACAGATATTATCTTCTATACAAGTCTTTCTCGAATTGTTTTATATTATGATGAATAGCCTATGAAGAGTACTATACGACAGCATAATTTGATATTCCCTTTGTTAACCTTTCGAAGAACATATGTTTTTCTTGGACATGGCAAAAAACATTATAATCGAAATTTCAACATTTTTGACTTTTGCACATGAAAAATGTTGAAGTTACATATGTTTACAAAGAAAATTCGCACATTTTGTTAGACATGTATTTCGTTAGTTAGCAGCTCTCTTAAATAATGATGAACGTGAACTTTTCTAGCTGAAGAATTTAGAAATATCGATATAAATGTTGTGAAATTGTTTGATGCCTATGAAAAGAAAGATGTTTGTCTCTTTTTGACTGAAAAAGTGAACGAATAAAATATTGAACTATGATATTCATTATAATTCATCGCACGCTGTCAGCACCTATACGAAACGTTTGAAGAGTATTTCTAATTAATGAAATTCACGTCTAACAAAATGTGCGAGTTTTTTTGTAAAATATATAACTCCAACATGTTTCATGTGTAAAAGTCAAAAATGTTGAAATTTCGATTATAATGTTTTTTGCCATGTCCAACAAAAACATATGTTTGTTTCATATTTCTTCGAAAGGTTAACAAAGAGAATATCAAATTATGCTGTCGTATAGTACTCTTCATAGGCTATCCATCATAATATAAAACAATTCGAGAAAGACTTGTGTAGAAGATAATATCTAGATAAGAAGATGTGCAAGTTTTTTTTTGCAAACACCTATATGTTAATAATGATATTATTCTGAACAAAGAATATTTCCTTTAGAAAAAAAGTTCCAAAACAGATCAAGTGGGATGATTTAGAAAAAAGATTTTTAAACAAATTTTAATTTGAAATGAAATAATTCGTTTTGAAAAAAAGATTTATTTGTCCAATCAAATTTAATATTTCAGACGATCGCTACAAAAAATCGATTTTTAATTAAATCCATCTGATTTCGCTCTTAAATGCCAGTTCCAGACAAGTCAATTGACAAAGTTTTGTTTACATTTTTGAACTTCAATGAGAGGAAGTTTTTCGATTAGCAGTAGATTCTTCATTTGTTTAGATGATTGTTTCACTTTCTCTTGAAGATCTGGAATCAATGACTGTCTTCTTTTCAAGAGAATTGCTTATTCTTTCTAGTGAAAAGAAACAGTTTCTTTTTTTATCCTTTATTTAATATTAGAAACATTCAAATCCTCAAAATATTATGAAAATCGGAGAACTTTTTTTCTTTCGACTAAACAACGGTTAAATGTCATTATCTATGACAAACCTTTCAAGTCTTTTGAGATAGAAGATCTTCGAAAGAGAATTTGAAGAATAATGTTTGTTCTAAGGAGTTTTGGAGAAAAATAAAAATTCGTGTTTTTTGTCTCATTTTTCTTTCTTTATCATGTAATACACATGTCAAGTATGATGAGCTTATTCTTCATCTCTTATTGAAATTTACTAAGAAAAATCGAATTATGTTCCGAAGAACAGAGACTACTGAGATCATATAGCGATATTTATCGTTCTTTGTTTAATTTATTCTTTCAATTAATTTAAGACTCTGATTAAAGAAAACGTCCGAAAGGTTTTTGAAAATTGAATTTTCTTTCAAGTAAATATTTTAAAAAAAGATCTTCTTACAATATCTGGAGATATATCGGAAATAAATCACTTTTTTCAATAAAAATTCATTTAAGAAAACAATAAAATGTTGAAGATCGAAATAAATAAATTTGATAAATAAAAATCTTTCCTTTTCGATTGCTTTCTTTTCCTCGAATAAACAAATTCTTTTATTCTATATACGTCCTTTGGTACAATATTTAACAAGATCTTTCCGAAAATTTTTCGTCATAAATTAAGCGGAGAAACTTTTATCTCAACTGATCAACATTGACCTTGTATACAAAGATATTTTGACAATATCACAATTCTTGTTTTATATCAAAATCAATTTTACCAACCACCTTCAAATGCTCTTTCATTATTTTTCTAATTAAAAAATTTCGTTCAAGAAAGTGTATTTTTCTTTTTCAAAAAATGAATCTACAATTTCGTTTCTTCACAGTTTCCTTCTTATTTTCTTTCTGTTTTCTTCTCTTCAGCTCTTTCTTTTCATCAACCAAAGTTTTGTCCAACAGCCACTTGGAATTCTAATGGAATCACTTGGGCTAATCGACCAATTGTTGGTTCTCAGCGCCTCGCCATTTTTGTGAACATGAACAACACAATCTATGTCACTAATGAAGAAAAAAACCAAATTTTAGTGTGGCATGAAGAGAATGTTAATCCAACAACGATCATTTCTGGCAGTTTTACCAAACCCCGTTCTCTCTTCGTAACAACGAATGGTGATATATATATTGATAATGGACAAACGAATGGTGAAGTGCAGAAATGGATAGCCGAAACAAATACTTTTGTCACTGTAATGAATGTCAACTCATCATGTTTTGGGTTGTTTGTCGATAGAAATGATACTCTTTACTGTTCAATGTATAATCATCATCAAGTTGTGAAGAAATCGTTGAATGATCATGTGGTGACACCCGCTGCTGGTACAGGTATTCTAGGATTCGCCTCGAATGAACTTTCTATGCCGACTGGAATCTTTGTCGATGTGAACTTTGATTTATATGTGGGAGATTGTGTAAATAATCGAATTCAGTTGTTTCAGTCAGGAGAATCATATTGCATCACAGTGGCTGGAAGTGGATCATCAAATCCAACAATTACACTTCTTAATCCAACAGGAATTGTCTTAGATGCGGAGAAGTACTTATTCATTGTGGATACTGGCAATCATCGCATTGTTCGTTCAGGGTTGAATGGTTTTCGATGTTTAGTTGGATGTCATGGAATGGGTTCACAATCCAAGCAATTGAATGTACCAACTAGTTTTAGTTTCGATCGTTCTGGAAACATGTTTGTTACTGATGAACATAATCATCGAATTCAAAAATTTATATATGAGGAAAATCTTTGTGGTAAGTTGAAGAATAACCGAATGAGGTCATGAGATATGAATGTCGATAATGAGTAGAGATGTAATTTTCGTTGGAGAAAAGTGAAGACTAAAGAAGTAGAAGAAATGATTATGAAACTACTCTGATAGAAAAACGTGAAATTGTGCCAATGGAATAACTGATTAATTTAAGAATATAAATATTTATTCGGGAAATGAATTCGACATGAGAAATTTCAACCGGAATATAAATTTTTTCGAAAGAAAAAGATAGGCTTTTACCAAAGATCAACTTCCAAAAGTGTTGATAGAAAATAGGTTTTGAAATGATGAGCGTCTGGATTAGAGATGGGCACCGGGACCAGAAAATGTTTTTGGTCACGGTGCCCATGTCTAGTCTGGATGTATATTTATTTATCTTTTAGACGCCCTCTCCTCTTCAAATGTGAAGACAGTTATCTTATCAGAAAAGTTACCAAAGACTTTTGTTGAAACTTATTTTGGTGCTAAAATCCTGTTCTGTGGATGTTTCAATGACCAATGTTTAACGTTTTTGACTGTTAATAAGAGAATAAAGCATGAAATTTTTCAGACGTTATATAAAAACTACCTCATCGACACGATTAGTGCCGGATTTTTTTATACAGCCAATGGCTATTTTTTGAATAACTCTGGATCGGCTACAGCTATCGGGATCATTCTTTCGCCATTAGAAAGAGCGAGTGTGGGATATCTATCTATTCCCCGAAACAAAATAGTTAGACTCTGTATTTCGAATATATTTCACCATAAGACCATACTTTTTCAAAAGTAATTACATGTTCTGAAAGCCCGTGGAGTTCTCTATCATCCTGTATAATTAGGTTATAGTTCCGACCTATTCATTACCAAAATAAACTGAGAGCTATGAAGGCACCCGCATGTCCAGATTACCATAAACTTGTATCTGTCACTCTCATCAAAATTAGTTTTTAAAATTTTTCATCCTTATGAAAAAAGTAATTATATATTCTGATAGCGCTTGGAATTCTCTATCTTTCTATATATTTATCTATTTTCTTACATTTATTTATTGGAAAAAAATTTTGAGTACAATGAATACATCGTCACTCGACAAGCCCAAAAATCGTTACTTTTCTCTTTTTTCAAAATATAATTACTATGAAAATAAGTTGTCAAAAAAAAGAAACTATAGATCCTGATAGAGTTTGAAATTCTCTATTAATTCATATATTTATGACTTGCCTTGCATTTATGTGCTGGATGTGCTGAAGAGTAATTCAAGTGTTACGTCGGCAACTGTCTCAAAAAACTTGAAAAAGCTGAAGTTCTTCAGTAACACTTAACTTTTTATTTTAAGTTTATTAATAGGAATAACTTTTTGGACAAGTAATCATATATTCTGATAGAACTTGAAATTCTCTGTCATCGTGAAATATTGAAATAAAAAACGAAAGAGATTGTAAAAATAGTTGCTGCCTTTAAAGCTTGTCAAGGAGCGTGTCTACGTAATGCTCGAATTATTGTCCAGCACATAAACACAAGAAAGTTAACATACATACACAGGATGATAGAGAATTTCAAGCTCTATTAGAATCTATAATTACTGTTTTCAAAACCGTTTATGCACAAGAATAATAAATTCAAAAAGAAATCTCCAAAAGCAACGAAAAATGCAGATTTTTAATACTTGTCGATTGGCGGTGTATTCATTGTACTCAATATTTTTTCCAATAAATAAATGTAAGAAAATAGATAAATATATAGAGTGATAGAAAATTTAAA